AGACACTGAACCTGTTTAGAATGTGACCCACTGACTGGGTAGAGGGATAAATGTAAGAATGAAACACACACCCAAACCCACACTTACTAAATACTCCAGTTCTCAAATTGGACTTCTTGGAGGGGCTGGAGAGATGGTTCAAGGGTTGGAGCACTTGCTGGTTCTCAGCACCAGCACGATTGTTCACAACCATCTGTAATTCCAGTTCTAGGGGATCTGATGCACTCTTCTGGCCTGTGTGGGCATTGCATGCATGTGGTGCACATACATGCAGGCAAACACTCATACACATAAAATAAAATCTTTTAAAAGTTATCTTAAAGATAACTTACAAGATATCTCTTTGTAAAAGATACAAAGAGAAACCTTGGGGCTGGAGAGATGGTTCAGCGGTTAAGAGCACTCACTATCTGCTCTTGCAGAGGACCCAGGTTCAGTTCCCAGCACCCACATGGCAGCTAACAACTGTCTATAACTCCAGTTCCAGGGGCTCTGACACCCTCTTCTGACCTCCTCGGGCACTGTACGACATGGGTACACTGACATACAAGCAGACAATACATTCATACACATAAAAATAATAAATAAAATATTTTAAAAAGAGCTATCTTTGTGTAAAGGTTATACCAACCACACTGCATTCAACAGTAGGCTCAAAAGTTCATTTTCCCAGTAACTCAATGTATGATCTTGGGAAAGTCACTTGGTTTCTCATCTGAAGGATAAAGAATTGGTCTGGATAATACTTAAGGCCCTTTCCATAATTCTATGGCTATCTATGGACTTATCTAAATAATCATGAAACACCACTTCATGCTGGAGAAACACAATCATAATAAACCAAAGCAGAACCAAATGCCCTTCTCCTGCTGTGAAATATAAAATGTCCCTAAAATCACATTTTCCCCTTGAAACAGGATGTAGGAAAAATATTTTCCTATTAAATCCTTTTAAAGCGCAAGGGAAAGCATTTATTTTGTGATTCATCGTCCAACTTAATAAAAGCTACAGGATTCAGCCATCTTTATTACAGAAGATGCTGTCAGAAGGTAAAAGTGGCAGAAACTCAAGCTGGAAACCAAGCCACCACGTCAACAGCACGATGTGCAAGCTTTCTGGAGGGACTTTTCAAGTGTATCCAGCAGTTTATTTCTGCCATTATGTCAGGGAAACCAGTAAATGGGTTTTTATGAGGTGATTTATGAAGCTCCCAGGGTGAACCAAGCAAGCACTCAGAAGAGGTCACACGAAACTCCCACCCGATGGAAATGAGGGAGAGAGAATGTGGACTCCTGTGACTTGATCACGCTGTTAATGAATTGTGTCTTCTGACATGGAGTAAACAAAACAAGATGAGACTGCAGAGAGGTAGAAAGGACTAAAAACTTCAGAGGAATGTTCCCTTGAACTTGAGGTATCTTGAAAATCTATTAGATTAAGCCCTTCAAGGGCAGAGACTCTGTTCTTCTTTCTGTAAAAATTAGAGTGCTGTACATAATGGGTGAGTGGGATGGATATCCATGGATGGGATGGATAGGAACACTTTCATACTATATTATAAAGACACACTAATCCATATTATAGAAAGAAGCTAGCACATGGCTGCTATTAATGGCTTAGCATGTACGCACTATTTATTAATGGTTGGTTGGTTCTGAAATAATGCCCTCCCAGACCAGATGCCCCTGGAGCAGCGCAAGGTTGGTATCAACAGAAACTGGCAGGCTCAGCACTTCAAGAACTGCCTGAGTGCAGACATCCAGAAATGAGGGACGAGTGCAAGGGATGATAACAGGGCACAAACATCACAAATCTCAAAAACATGGCTGATCAATGACAGAGGGGTGAGACTGAGCTCTAGGGTGACTAATTGCTTTTGTTTCTCCCTGTATAATCTGCCAGCTGGAGATGAAATGCAAAACACATTTTAGGATGGTAATCCACTGTCTTCTCAGACTGTCAGGTTGCTGCATGTGGGGCATTTTAAAGATTCAGTTCCTCTCTCTGCTCACTGATATCTGTGATGGGCAGCAACAAAGTCTGGTATTTCGGTTCTATGACAAGGAGCAAACCTACAAATGTTCAAGACAGGAAAAAAAGGAGATAGATTTCTGCTCATTCAGGAAGACACATGGGATGTTTGCCAGCTTGTGCTCAACCCCTTTCTGTTGTATCTCCAAAGATGTCCCGAGTCCCAGCTGTTAAATGTGTGATTATGCGTGCTGCATGACACTGGGGAACTGAGGATGCACGTGGAATTAAAATTGCTGACCAGCCGGTCTCTTAGCTTCTGCTACTATAATGAACATCCGATGTAATCAGTTTACAAAGAGAAAAGGTTTGTTTAGGCTCACAGTTTAGGAAGTTCCAGTCTATGATGAACAGATCTACTTATTATTCTTGGCCTTCATGGAAACGTCAGAGCAAAACTGCTCACCTCACCAGAGAAAGAGACATGGGTCCCACCGCGTCCTTTGAGGGCACACCCCCATGACTTAGACCTCCCACTAGACTCCTTTACCTCCCAACAGTGCCAAACTGGGGGCCAAGACATGGATCTATGGAAGAAGTCTCACCCAAGAATCAATGCCTATGGCCCAAGTTCGAGGAACTCAGTAGCGCTGGCAGATTGGCTTCCACAGATTCAAAATGAGGACTGGTGGGTATTGCCCAACAACGAGCTGATGGCTGCCAGGACTGGCAAAGAGCACTTAGGGGAACTCTTCACTCAGAGTGATCATGGTGGCTGGCAGGTATTCCTGCTCATTCAGAGGGTAGCTCAGGGAAGCCACTTGCCCAAAATCAAATAGCTAGACAGCCAAAAAGCTGGGATTCAAACCCAAGTCCTCTCGTTTCCAAATGGCCCTGGTTTCCTCTACAATTGCTCATCCTCTGGTAATTGCTTTCTGAGCTGCTGATTTAACTAGAAAAAGCTCAGAGATCTAATCAGGGTTTCTTAGACACCCCAGAAGTTTTTTAGGAATTAAAATTGTCAAGGCTCCTGCTGTCCAGAGAGGAGAAAATAAGTGTGTGGTCATGTGGCAGCTGGTGAGGGCCTCACTGTCTGGAGGTCAGAGGCCCAACAGCAACAGCTTACCCTGGGCTGTTCTGAAGCCTTTTGTCCGCCAGGGTCTACACCTGTGTGGCACCTATGTCACAGATGGCTTTGGTTTTCAACTTGACACACCTGGGAAGAGGGAATGAAATTGGGGGATTTCCTCTATGGGATTGGCCTATGGCCATGTCTTTGAGGCCTTTTCTGAATTGTTGAGTGATGTGTGAGGGTCCAGCCCAATGTGGGTGGTGCCACCCCAGGCAGGTGGGTCTAGGTTGAATAAGAAAGCAGGCTGAGCATAGGCCAGAGTGCAGGTCAGTAAGCAGTGCACCTCAGTGGTCTGTACTTCAGTTTCTGCCCTGGCTTCCTTCAATGATGATTGTGATCAGGATATGTAAACCAAACAAACCCTTTCCTCCCCAAGTTGGTTTTGGTCTGTTTTATCAGAGCAATGAAAAACAACCAGAAGAACCTGGGAAAGGACTCCAGCAGATGCCAGCAGGCCGAGACCTCGCTCCTTTCCTCCTGTGCAGCTTGGCGCTGCCACTCAGCTTCTGACTGTCAGCTTTAACACTTGTGTCCCAAGGACCACCCTGCAAAGTCACAATAAAGAGCTGTGAGTCGAAACTTGGAGAGACCACTTTTTGCAGATGATCGCCCTCAGGGCTGGACTTTAAGCTGTGCCAAGCTGTGTGCACTCCACAGCTATCTGATCCTCAGTGGGCTTGTACATCTGATGACTTATTTGTAGCAGGAGGCCCTAAGAGTGTCCTGGGGAGGGAAGAGGTCTTTCCCAAGGTCACTGATGATGGTAGGCACAACATGCCAAGAACTAGTTAATTGATCCTTGTGTCAAACCCCTCCTTCCCCACACTGTCTTCTCATATGAAAATCAAGAGAAAGCAAGGCTTAGGGTAAATTGATGGATAAGCCAAGCTCCCCTTGCTGAGTGTCTGAGGTCCCGTTCGCAGAACTCAGACCACAGGTGCTACCTACCACATTTGCTTTTTGTAGCTCAATCTCAAAATTTGCTCACATGACCCCAGGGTAATAAGTGGAGTATTCATGAACGAGGGACCCATTTTTGGACCTGTGATGAGACACCTATTGAGTTGTCTTCTGATCCACCCTGCTTCCCTGGTTCACCTCCTAACCTTCGATTCTGGGGTGCCTTGCCATTCACTGACTTCCTGGTGGTCTCAAATGTGACCTTTCACCTTCTTTCAGCTGCACTCATTTGAACTTTTTCAGAAGTGAAAGGGGTCTTCCAGATTTAAGGTCCCTCCAGATATAAGCTGCTACAGATTTTGCAAACAAACTCCTTCTGCATTCAAGTACTTCCTTAAGTTAGAAGCTGGGAGCAAGAGCTGAGTACCTCCATCTCCTCTGAGGCACATGGTGAAAGTGACGTATCGGCCACACGGCAATGGCCACTAGACCTCCTGTCAGAGTACATATGATGAAAGGCACTTTTGTTGGCATCCTTTTTGACCAGATTAGGTTCAGTCTGCCTCCATCCTTCCTTGGAGGGTGGGAGACCTGGTCAAATTCAATTCTCTACCAGAGAGGTGGGGAACAGAAACACAGAAGGTAGGCAGCTGCAGGGCTTAATATCAAGAAAAACTCAAGATAGCCGGGGATGGCTTATCTGGAGGGAATGAAAGCCAAACAGGGACAGAGGACCAAAGAGAGGGCCAAACTAAAGGAGACAGGCACAAAAGATTAGAGGCCAGATAATGAAGGAAGGATGAGAGGGCAAGGGAGTTATGGTGGGTATTTATGGGGTTTCAGTAACAGATGACAACAGACTCGGTGACTTAAATCAACAGAAATTTATTTCTCACAGTCCTGGAGGGCAGAAGTCTGAGATCCAAGTGTTGGCAAAGTCACATGTCCCTCCAAGGCTCTCAGGGAAAACCCTCCCTTCTTCAGCTCCTGAAAGGAGGTCAGAATTTCTGCATGTGGCCCTTTCTCTCTGTTATCTGCTTGTGTCTTCATGTCAGTTTCTCGGAGTATCTCTTATGTGGACACTATTACTGGGTATAGGTTCTGTATGGTCAGTCTTGAGGAGGTCATCTTCTCAAGACAACTATAACTTAATTCTATCTTCAGACCCTTTTTTGCAAGTTAATAGTCACAGGTTCTAGCAGTCTGGATGTGGTTGCAGCCGTTTTACAGGGGGCCATTTACAGGGTGGGGGAAACAGAAGCAGAGTGGAACAGACCAGCAGGTCAGGCGGGGAGCCTTTTCTTTGGACTTTTCAAAGGTTTTCTGGGCTTGTCATCACCTGAGGCTGTACAGTCTGTTTGGGGCTCACTTGGGTCTCACCTCCACTACAATCTTCTCTGCTTTTACAGATCCAGACAAAACTTGGAGGCCCATCCTCACCTCTCTATGAAACCCCCACTGCACCAAACACACTGTTCGCACAAAGCACCACCCACTTCCTAAGTGCTTAGTGCAGCTCAGCCTCCCTGTCACTCAAATCCTTTCCTGCTTATCTGCTTCCTACTTTCTGGGGCCCTTCAAGATTCTGGCTTCCTCTTCTTTCCCCTAATTCAACTCTCACTTTACTATGCAATGGAATTTAATTCTCTTTCCATTTATTCTGCCCCAGGCTTACTTTTGCATAGCCAAAGACTCATTAATGTCTCCAAAACATCCAAAAAAACAAAACTCAATTATATATTGAATTAAAAAGGAACCTGAACCAAGCCATCAGTTAATCTTATTGGCTGACTTCAGTCAACTGAAATAACTATGGCTCAAGATGGTACTTTAACGTCAGAGTCAATCTTTTTAACCCTTGTCTGACTCAGGAGAGTCACACCTCACGGCTCTGGGATACCTGCTCCACGCCCCTTCCCGACATGTAATAAGAGGAGAACCACATCACCAATGACAACGTCTTCAGGCTACTTACTGGGTCAAGCAACGTCAAAACTTTTTACTCGGGTCTTCCGGTTAATTCCTCGTAAACTCCGAAGAAGGTGCTGGCTCCGCTCTACAGAAGCGGTTGAAGGTCTGGCTTCTGTTTCTTGCACACCTGCCCTGGCCTAGCTCCTACTGCACCCGGAGTCACCATGCACGGTCTCCGTGCATCTCAAGGTAAACCCTTGAAGTCGAAGGTCACGGGTGGTAAGCTTGTCAAACTGCTCGGTCTCAGGACTTCCAAGAACCGCACCGAGAGCGAGCTTTCTCCGAGGCGAGGTTTGGCAGCGAGCACAGAGCAATGCTACTGCCCTACACGTCGCGGTCCGGATGGGGACCTTGCGCCTGTCTGATGTCGGAACCTTTCTCCACGCGCCGCAGTACCCGGGCGGAGAGCGGAACCTTTCTTCTCTCGTCGCAGTTGCCGGGAGGAGGCGTGCGTGATCGGAACGGTCCTCCAGCGGCCGCTTTTGCACTGGGGTCGCTGGCTGCTGACGTGGGCGGGCCGGCTTTTAGCCGTGGGTGCGGGTCGCTATGGCGGTGGACATCACGCTGCTGTTCCGGGCTAGTGTCAAGACGGTGAAGACGCGTAATAAGGCGCTGGGAGTGGCGGTGGGCGGCGGGCCCGAGGGCAGCCGCGACGAGCTGTTCCGCCGGAGCCCTCGGCCTAAGGGCGACTTCTCCAGCCGGGCCCGCGAAGTGGTGAGCAGGTTGCTATGGGAACGACGGGCTGGCGATGGGGGGCGGACCCTCACCAGACCCCCCAAACCCGACGCTGTGCCGTAAGCACTGTCCCAGACGACACAGCTGGAGGGGAGGAGCGACAGGTTTATTCTGAAGAGGAGGATTGCGCACCAGCCCCTTCCGTGTACTTGCGCACCGGGTTCAAACCCACACTCACCTGGGCATAAGGACTCAGTACCCCCAGAGACTGGTTAAGGATAGGCGTCCACCAACACCCGGTGTTACCGTCCACTAAGCTGCCTTCTGTTCCCTGAACACAGCGGACTTTCGTTCGTCTTCTCCATAAGGGCAGGGACCATCTGTGTTGGCTTCATCTCAGAATGTGTGACTCATAACGTTGCTTAGTAAATGCCCCTCGAATGAATGAACACATTTCCCCCACCACCGGAAAAATAGATAGTGTGTACCCTATGTGCTTTTGTATCTGTGACACAGGGTAGGTGAGGTTTTTGAAGGGCCTAAAGTTTAAGATTATTTGATTTTCCAGTGACCCCACCTCTGCTTGGCACATAGTCCAGTGCCCGACACTGTGTGGACACTAATATGTTTTCGAATGAATGAATGAATGAATATAGGTACGCATGGGAATGAATGACCCTTTGCAGAGAAAGTACAAACACGGAGTGGTGAATGGGGCAGATAAATAGGACTACCAATAAACATCTGCTTACTGCTTATCTTATAGCCAGTACTTTGTTTTAAAATGTTTTTTTTTAAATCTTTTTAAAAAAATTCTATGCGTATGAGTGTTTTGCCTGCATGTAAGTGCACCCGTGTCCTGCAGTGCCTGCAGAGGACAGAAGAGGGCGCCAGTCCCCTAGAACCGGAGTTATGGATGGTTGTTAGCTGCCATGTGGGGGCTGAGATTTGAACCTGGATCTTCTGCAAGAACAGTCAGTACTCTTAACCACTGAGCCATCTCTCCAGCCCCAGCCAGCACTATTTTTAGAGTATCATGATAGAGGAGCAGTGGAGGGGACACATGCAGAAGGCTTTTAGGTGTACTAGGGGGAATGTGGTTTGCTCCACTTAAGGGAAAGCTGTCATAAGATGATGATGTCAAAAACACATCCTAGAAAAGTAGTTGGCTCCATTGCACATAGAGTAGGGGAGGACATGTCAGGCTAAGAGACCAGCGTGAGCAAAGGCTTGAGGTAGTCTGACTTAAGTTGGTTTGATGAACATTTGAACATGGCTAAGAATATGGGACACTCAGAAAAAAAGAGACTAGAGTGGCAGGTAGGGGAGATCTCGGAGGACCTTATAGATCACTCTGCAGAGTTTGAACTTTGTCCTCCAGACAAATTTTATGTGGGCAGACTACAGAAGACTCAGACACCAGGTGTTATCTTACCCTGGTAACTATTAGCCAATCAGTGCAAGCAAGGTTTATGACCTGGGTTTCTTCACCTGTAAAATGATTCCGTTTTATCCCAAATAGAAGACTTAGAAGACTGTGTTGACCTCATCATAGATACCATTTACCTGTGCGGGGTGCTTTTCAGGTTGGAATGGGAGGAAGGGACTAGGGTTCTCTCACTCCTGTATCACCTGTTTGGCCAAGCCGTTCCTGAGACCCCTCTTACACAGTTGTGTAAAAATCATAGTTTTGATGTCGAGGGGCCCTTTTCTGGAATTGTTACTCACACTGTCGAGGGGGGTTGGAATGGTAGAGATAAGCTTAATTTCCCTGGACCCTTTTCAGAGAGCCTTGTTACCACTTGGGCTGCTTCTGAGTGAGGAGACTATCTTTTAGGCTGTTTTCAGTTCATGCGCGTCAGGGATGAAAATCCTGTGTAGGTGCACACAGCGCAGTTGTGGAAAGACAGTAGTGTTTCTGAGTTAAGCAGCAACTCTATTGTCAATGACAGATGCCATGCATCTGCTCCTTATCTCTTGCTGCCTCAAACTATGAAGCCAGTGCTCATTTCCCAGTGGACCCTGTAGCTCAGAACCTCTTGCAGCTTTGTGCCGCCAGAGCTATTACCAATTATTGAGCTTGACATTAAGTTGACATATGTTTGACATTCTGCCTGACAAATAGTTAAAATAGATTGCATACCTAAACAGAACCATAGATTTAAGAAAGCACTTTAAAAGACCTTCCTTGAGTCATGTTGTTCAGGCCAATCATTTTATAGGTGGGAAGACCACCAGACAAGTCCAGTGACTGGCCCAAAGTCATTACAGCTTTGAGTCAATGGGGCCCCACCAGAGGTGGAAGGCAAGTTCTTTGTTCCAGTTTATTTCTCCCTCTGTAGTCTATCTTAAATATCTACTGTAATTGTCAAATAAAAGAATTTCTTTGTCTGGGTGTGGTGGCAGTGTACCCCTTCAATCTCATTACCGTGGAGGCAGATGTAGGTGAATCTCTGTGAGTTCAAGCCAGCCTGGTCTACATAGTGAGTTCCAGGCCAGCCAGTACTACATAGTGAGACTTTGTCTCAAACAAAAGAAAACAAAACAAAATAAAAAATTTTGGCTTTTGAATATCAACACGTTTTCTCCTTAGGCTCATACCAAATGTGACTTGGAGCAGAAAGACTTGAATTTGAGTGCTTCTTACTGACTGTACAAGGTTGGACATGTTGCTTAACCTGTTTCTTCATTTCTGAAAAGAACCATAGCAGCCTTAGAAGACCATTGGACTGATGAATTGAGAAGTTTCCCAGTGTGTCTGAACTCCTTGGTTATAAGTAATAGAAACCCATCATGAACCAACCTGAACAGAACATCTTCGCTCACAAGACTAACAGCTTTGTGTGTCATATCCTAGCTCTCACACTGACTCTGCTTTCTTGTGTGTCATATCCTAGCTCTCACACTGACTCTGCTTTCTTGTGTGTCATATCCTAGCTCTCACACTGACTCGTTTATTCATTTATTAGCACCTTTTGTGAAAACGGAACTTTATTAATTTCGTTGTTTAATCTGTCCATCTAGCCTTAGGAATTCATTATCTTCAGTTCCTGGCTGAAACTCAAAATTCATAGAATGACCCAAAGCCCAGTGATTGGTCCTACTGCCTCTCTGCCTGGGTTCCTCTCCTCTCACAGTCCTGCTTGTCCTCCGGCCACCCTGAGCCCTCGTGTCCTCACAGGCGCCATATTCCTTCCTACCCCAGGGTCTTTGCGTTTGTGGTTCCCCTCACATGGAATGCTTTCTTCTCAGATTGCACACAGCTCCATCTCTGTCGGCTGCGGGTGTCTCCTTGGGAAGCCTTCCTTCACTGCCTTCCATACAGTGCCATCCTTTTCTGTTCCTTGTAATGTTTTACAGTCCTCGTTACCTAACGCACTGCGTATAGCTTATTTCTTGTTTATCTATTTGACTGTGTGTCCCTAAAGATGAAGACTGAGTGGTCTCCACTGAATCAATAGCCCAGAACAGTACAGAAGTAAGTCTTTAATGCATACTCTTGGCTTAGTAGTTGGCATTAATTTTCTGTATTTCTTTGCTTTTACCCTTAGAGCCAGATGACCTCTATCCAAGACTACTAGTTCTGAAAATGTGCATCCTGACAGGAATCTTGGCTGTCTTACAATATAGATCTGTGCTTAGCCCAGCATCTGCTGTGAGCACTGGCTTTAATTTTATCACGAGGGTCAGCCTTCTCTTAAGGAGTTTGCAGTGTAAAGGAGAAGCAGGCAGAGTGCAGCAGCTTAGGGGTGTCGCTCTCAGCTCAGTTCCGCAGATCCTCTTTGACTTCTCACTCAGAGGCCCCAGTGTTGGGGTCAACGAGTGAGCTGGGCCACCTGGACTGTTTGTTACCTGGAGTGGCTGGATAGAGGTTTTATCTGGGGATTGAGTCGAATCATAGCTGCACGGGGATTTCAGTCAGAACACAGTTCAAAGCAGCAGCATCTGGTAACTGAGGCAAAGGGCCAGTGAGAAGCAGGAGAGACAGGAGGTAGCCAGACTGCAGGAGCAGATGTAAACCAGTGAATGCTACATGAAGCCTGGGAGCTGCCTGGGGGTGAAGAGTCATGCTGATTTTTTTTTACATTTTTATTTTATTTTATGTGTATGAGTGTTTTTGCCTGCGTGTGTGTTAAGTTCACCTGTATCGTGCAGTGCCCACAGAGGTCAGAAGAGGACATGAGATCTTTTGGGACTAGAGTTACAGATGGTTGTTTGTCACCACGTGGGTGCTGGGAATCGAACCTGGGTCCTCTGCAAGAGCAGCCAGTGCTCTTTCTCCAGCTCTGCTGGTTTTTAAATACACATGGCAGAAACCTTTTTGCAAACTCAATGAGTGGCTTTTCTTGAAGCTCGGGGCAAGGAGCTGGAAGAATTGTTCATTAGCCAGCCTTCCCTTGACTGTCTTTTCCATCTGTTGTCTAGGGAACCCTTAGGACACCCTTAGGACTCAGAGACCCACGAAATGGCGTTTTTAGCTTAATGATGCTGTGTCTTTGAGGTTTGCAACAGTCGAATGTTTTCTGTGAGCAGAGCTCAGTGCCAGAGACTCCCGGAATGTCAGTTGTGAGCTCTTTCTGTGGATTGCCCTCATGCTATTTTGCCTAGAAGTTAGGGGGACTACAGCTTTTAAAGTTGTCTTTTTTCAGTAATTGATTTATTCCATTACCTGATTGAGTATCTTATGTGTATCAGAGAATTGTGGGGCACAAAGAACTAAGAAAACACAGATAAAGGATGAGTCAGTCTCCTTGGGGGAGAGCAAGTAAAAACTGCAGAGAGGAAGCACCGATTAAACCAGGCCTTAAAGTATGAGAACTGTTGCACTGAACTTAGGAAGGGGACCAGTCCTCAGGGAAGAGTGTGAGCAAAGGGGGCACACACAGCAGGGCCAGTGCAAAGCAGAGCAAGACAGGTGTGAGGAGAGCCCTCCTTGGAGGAGGCCTTGGAGAGACTTTCTTGAGTCAGAGATGAGGCTGGTCTAGATTGGGTAGAGGAGGCTGTGGTCTGCAGGCTGGATCCAGTCCCCTCCCTTTTTT